GGGGGGGGCTCTCTGCCGGCAGCATCATCCTCGGCACGACGGCGGCCGCTGGAGCCGAGCTTGGCCCCTGCCGAGCACCCCAAATGGTTCCTGGGGGTGCGAGGGCACCGCCGGTGCAAAACGAGGCTGGTGGGGTGCACGGAGGTGGAGTGAGGGTGAGGTTGGGAAGTAGATGCTGCAAATATGCTCGAGGTAGGTGTGTTTCCATTTTTAATCTTCTTTCCCCCCCCCCAATCTTCAGTCTTCTAAACTATCTCGAATCCCTGTAGTTATGTAAGGAGAATATGAGTGGTAGAGAAAGAAACAGAAGTCGATAGCAGCCACCAACTCGGTTTTTTTTTCTTTGACAGGATTGGGTTTATTGAGTTTTGTCAGTCTATCGGGGTTAATTGGACTCTCATCCAACCGGTGGGCTCTGCCACCCTCCCTCTTGTGTTGCTGGGGTACAGGTTGGATGAAAAGCAACACCTCCTCAAGGATGCTCCTGTAATACAAGTTTTGATGAAGTGGAAATGCAATAATTAGCTTTTTCCAGACCTGTACTGAGAACAAGAGTTTTCCTCTTTGGTTGCTGCATTGTTGCAAGATTGCTTTACACCGTGGCACAGGCCTTTGAGCTCAGCAGTGTCTTTGCACCACTTATCTTACATGAGTAATTCGGATGTTTCCTGGTTTTACACTGAACCAATCACTTCATTTTTTTAACTTATTGATGTGGCTGTTTTAAAAAATGTTCCCCATCTATTGTATTCCTTAAAAAAAAAAAAAAAAAAAAAAAAAAAAAAAAAAGGATTTTTGCAGCAAGCCTCATCCTTCCCTACATGTAGGTTAGGTTCTTGTTCAGTTTTGATGGTTGCACCTCGCTTTCCAGCAACTCATGCCTGCCCTCTCTTCTAGAGCAGCTGTGCTCTCAGGACCCTCGAATCCAGCCCTCACTGGTCCCCCATCCTGCAGCTCAGGGACTGGCTGAATTTTATGAAGTTTCCCAACTTGTCCAAGCAGCAAAGCTGACCTCTTTCAAACCTGGTTCTCATTAGGCTCTGACAAATCCCACATGACACTTGTGGTATTGAAAAATACCCAGCGTGTTACCTCCATCTTCTCTAAACCAGCAAAGAATCCCCAAACCAGTTTCTATGTAAAAGTGGAGAATGTGAGGTGTTTTGAAGGGTGGGGGGCATGCTAATTTTTGTCTGAAATAAAAATAGCAAGGCTGCTCCCTCTTGTTGGGCATGTTGATGTCCCCTTCCCCCTGCGGCTGCGGCGCTGCTCAGCGGCTTCGCCTGCAGCCCCGGGATGCTGCGAGTATGTAGGTCAGAGCTCTTCTGGCTCTGGTAAGCGTTAAATCAAGCTTGTGCTGATCTTGGTTGCTCCAATCTTTTCAGGTATTTGCTTTAGCGTTCAGCTTCCCCCTTCCTCCTCTGGGTTATCAGTGGTAAAAGGCCCTTAATTGTAATTTATCTGTGGCTGGTACACGGTGGGATTATCTTTAGGGCTCAGGGTGGCAACACTTAGGTTCAGGATTATTTGCATTGCAGTTATTACCTGTGGGTGTAACAATTGAAATGGGGCCACCCATTTTTTGAAAAATCTCATTCTTTGCCTTGCAGCTTTAGCAAAGGATGGGTCTCTTCTGTTATTAATACTGACTTACTCGCAGGACTTTGGCTATCAACGCTGCAGCAGCTGCTTTTTCACCACAGATAACAGAAAGCATCTGGACTAGCTGGGGAGTGCATTGTACGATATGTAGGGCACAGTGGGAGGTGACCATCATGCGATTATGGTATATCTGTGACAGCCATCTGCCACTTTTTTTGGGTGTGGGGTGTTTTTTGTTGTTTTAACTTTCCCAGACTTCCAATTCAACAGCTAAATTCAAAGTCCACCATGGACTGAAATTTCTCCTTCAGAAAGCTGTAGAGAACTGTATTAAGTCTAAAGCTCATCAACAGTATCACTTTGAATTAAATTCATACACAGATCATAATGAAGCATGGAATTTAGCTTTCTGCCGGTTCCTAGATTTTATTAGATTTGCCTTGTGTAGAGAGCAAACCCCATCCCCCCCTCTGCTGAGCCTGATTTGTAGTCTGAGAGCTTGTGCTCGCTGATCACGAGCCAAATCAGAAACCTTCATCTTTGGCAACACTGGGAAAGGGGATTTAGGATTTGCAGATATGTTTTTCCACAGCCCACCTTCTGTCATTGTTTGAGCCTCTAAACCAAGGAGTTTTAATATAAATAAAAAGAACATTTAAGGAAAACGAAGGCAGCGTTGTTTCTTTTTTTAGTGCAGTGAATGTAGTTCTCAGCACTGGAGTACAAGATGGAGTGGCTGAGGAGGAAAGAGGTAAATGTGATGATGGTATAATCAAAAGGTCACATTGGGCAGAGTTTGGAGGCTTCACACATCAATATGTGAGATTATATATATATATGATAACTGGGTCCTAATAAATGGTGAACAAACAGCTTACCTGGTTACTAATACCAGGATCTTTGAGGAATCTCTGTTAGCATCGATGTCTGCTGTATAAGTTTCACCTGCCATCTCTGGATGCTCGCTCAGCTGTCACGAAGACCTCTACAGGTTTGCCCAGAGTCATCTTCAAGTGTGCGGTAACTAATGAGCTGCTCAGCATCCTAAAGCCCATGAAACAAGATTCCCAAGTCAGGCTCGTCTCCAACAGTTCCTTAGAATTTATATAGAAACCTATTTAAGTGATGGGACTTGATACAGAATAGCCTCACTGTCACCTGACCTCTAAGAGGTTCGTGCTGGCTGAGAATCTGCATCTGAGTCTCCCATCTCTCCAGACAGCCAGCCCTAACCAACAGATTATTTAAAATATTAAGAAATACTTCTAATATTTATGGTCTCAGTGGTTATGTCCCTCAGAAAACTAAGGGAAGAAGACTTTATACTTCTGTGGCTAGGCTACTGTTCTGGGCTGTGGACTCGGAAATGAGCAAAGCAATCTTCTGAACTGAGAAGTTCTGAATGTCAGGAAAATTCTTTGTTAGAAGGTATTTTCTAGAGGGTATGGCTGTCAGTTGTTCAGTAAGGTTTGTGGTGCTCAGCCTGGGAACCTCTGAGACCCCAAGGAAAGGGAAAGCTGTGACTTGCACTGCAGAGCACAAGTGCAGTGTAATGGTGCAGGTACCAGTCTGGCTCTGTCTGCACTGAAGTGCTGTGAAAATATACTCTGGTTCTAAAACCACTTTTAATTAAGATTTGAAGTAAAGCAAATTGCCATCATCGTGGGTTGTCGCTGTGCAATTATCTTACCTACTTAAAAGCTACTTTGTCATGGACAGCTGATGCAAAACTGGTCTCAACAGCAAGGTATGGACAGCACAAGGCAGCGACTGGACACCTCGGGGGTACTTGTGGACTCATACCCTGAACTGCCTTCCTCACTGAGCAGAAACCTTCAGATCAATTTTTTTTTCTGAAAACTTAACGCCAGTCACTATCTAGCAGATACTCTTGACTTTCAGGAGCTGTTACCTGCGCTGGGGCACACCGCTCCGGTGTGTGTGTGTGGGTTGTGCTAAAGGCACCGCTGCTCTGGCTGCATTTCCGTGGTTCCTAGCTGCTGGTCCGCTCCTCCGGCTTGGTGCCTGCTCTCGCAGCTGGCGTTTGGAGATGCTTTAAAGGGCCCTGGCCACGGGCAGAGCTGTGGCTGCTTGAAATTCCTGGGGGGAGCCGGGGTAGGTGTTCAGTGGTTCCTAAGTAGACCTAAACCCGTTTCTAGCCCTGTGCACTGTCCTCATTGCATTGCCACTTGAGGAGAGCGACCTGTTGTTGTAACAACTTGCAATTAGCCAGTTTTTCAGTGTTATTTTTTGGGGTTAAAATGTTTGCTGCTGCCCGAGCAGAAGATCGCACTTCACTGTATTTACAGCCGAGGCGCTGCCACAAACCGATGCAGCCTCTCTCAACTCCCTGCTCTAAGTTCCCCTCGCGGGGATGCCGCCACCCCCCGGGCCTTGGCCTTTCTTCCCCCTAAAACCCCGCTGGAAGGAAAACACCCAACGTGGGCTTTCTGGGACGTGCCTGGCTTCCTCTGAATTACCGTTTTTAAGCACACACGGTGACAGCCGTGCCCGCGGGCCGGTTGCTTCCCGAGAAGGGCACCGGGCCGGCCGCCCCCTCCCACAGGCCGCTCCGGCACCCTTCGCCATCACGGGTGGTTTCAGAGGGACACCCCGGGCCCGCAGCCGCCTCCCCCCGCCGCCGCGCCGAGGC